CATTGTCTAGGCAAATGCTTCCTTGTTAATGTGAATGGCGCCCATTAAACTGAAGTATTACATAGACTGGCCATGGACACAGAGACATACGACACTCTGTGTGTGACGATTGGCAATTAGTGAAGAGCTTTGCGTGCTTCGACAAGACCCATTTGGGTGACAGCCTGGTAAAAATTTCCCCTCTTGCAGATGGTCATTGTCACCGTGTGGATAACGTCGGCAGTCTACTCGACGCCCAAATTTGTCTTCAGCAAGACTATAAAAAATATCCACACCGAGGATGGCCAGGAGGAGGAGATCTGTGTTCTGGATCGGGAAATGTTCAATTCCAAGCTGCTCGACATGATTAACTTTGTGCTGCTCTACGTAATGCCGCTTCTGGTAATGACGGTAAGTAAGATCAAAAGAAAAGAACAGAGAGAAAAGGCAGAAAGAAAAGAGAAGACATCGTAACTTAGCTACACTCTAAAGAGCATAATTGCCCGGCTCTACTTCAAATATTTAGATATTATAGCACTATACACTGGCTATGAAAATAACCATAAATTACTTTGACAGGTGCTGTACAGCAAAATAGCCATCGCTTTGTGGCGCAGCTCACGTGGTCTCAGTCCGCATGTGACGCAACATCAGCAGCAGCAGCAGCAACAGCATCAACAGCAACAGCAGCAGCATCAGGCTGGTCCAGAGAACAGCATGAGTCTGCATAACAGCATGTACCACCATCATCATCATCATCACCACCATCATCCGCACGCACATCCCCTAGCCCATCCACATCATCATCAACTCCATCAGCTGCCAGCGTCGTCGGCGACAGGAGGTGGAGCTGGAGTCGGAGCAGGCGGCGGTGCTGGAGGAGTGGGAACAGGTGCTGGAACATCCTCGCTAGCTTCCGGCAGCAGTTCCACGTCCTTGTCACGTAAACAAAGCAGTAAATACGAAAAGCGAGGCGTCAGCATCACCGAGAGTCAGGTGAGTTCAACAACAAAAACAGATAGTCACAGGTGTTTCGCTTGGCACTCTGGTTGCCCAAAACATTCTCAGCAATGTCAAGTTCTATGCAAAAAGTACTTTAATGTGTTACGTACTTACGTACATATATGGTTTGAAGAAAACGCTGTGGGAATTGCGCTCAGAAGTGCACAAAAAAGTTGCGAAGCTACAACTTGAGTAAAAAGAAATAAAATAAAATCAAGCACACTTTTATTTAACATAGTATAAAAAGTGAGCGAGGCAGACAAAGTCCACAATCTTGTGTAGAAGTTGAATTTTACTTATACTCAGCCTCATATGAGTGAGCGAGACATACGGAATCCATAATATATTGCTCTTTGGATTGGATCGTAAGCCATAATCGAGCTGAGCAGTTTTGTGGAAGTTAAGTGATTTACTATAAATTGAGCTGCGACGTTTCACAGACTGTAGCTGGCATGGCTTTGAGTGAGCGAGACACAAAATCCTTGGATTGTAAACGAATGGTGTGCTGCCTCATTCTCTCTATTGCATTCGAAGTTGCTGAGCAATGATTATTTGTATGTACATATGTATGTACATGCATACGTGTTTGAATGTGTGAGTGCGCAATTGTAATGCAGAAACTGCATACAAAACGTGTAGCTTCGACTCACTCTTTTATTTCGACTCTTGTGACATTCTTGCTCATTTGCCGTCTGCAGGCATCTTCATCTTTTTGGGATGCTGCTCACCTCTGGCTTAGTTGCTCTCTTTTTAATCGTAACACGAACACACCCATATGTTATTGTTTTGCGATAAATAACAAATGTATAAATACACATACTTATATCGTATATTACATGAAATTTAGCAGTTAATTAAAGCTACATAAAATTCTTTGTTAAAGTTAAACTGAAATGAGTAATTAATAAATAAAAGTGAAAAGCAAAGCACAGACTTCACTTACATACAATTGTATATGTATATGTATGTACATATATAATGTGCATATGCACATTGTGATCACTCATACATACATATATTTGCAGCCTTCTTGCTCTAACATCTTTCCTTTTCGCTAAGAGCTTTAGAGCAAAGCTTAACTAAGATCCACTCACTTGCTCTGAGCGCACACAGAATGTGGATCGTAAGCGATTTGCGCGCTGCGGAGCTGACTCACTAATACGCGCTCATTAGGTTCTAGCGTCCACACTTAAGTAGAATACATGTGCAAATGAGAGTGTGTGTAAATTGGTTAGTTGAGTTCAGTGATTTCTGTTAGCGCTGACAGCAATACACATTGAATGTGAGAGGTAATTAAAGTTTCAATAATTTCTGTTGTGGCAAGAGAAAATCATACTTAATGACATTTTCTGCATTGATTCATACATATAATAATATCCGTCAAAATAATTTACTACATAAATCTGCAATGGTATGAAAACTGATTGTGGTGAAATGCAATATTTATTGCACACAAAGTGACATTTTATGACATCCTTTGAATTTAATTGAAAGCTTGATAAATGTAGTTGGCACCTGATAGCTTAGCATGGCAGCGCAAACTTTTCCAAAGCTCGAGTTAAGGTAAACTAATACTTGCACAACAAATTTGAAGTATTCGCATGCCTTAACTTTCTCGCACCGAGTGTAAAGGTGTAAAGTGTGCTTGCCGTGTGGCAGGTGTGGCAGGTGTAAGTGGCGCGCGTGGCTTCTAATAGTTAATATTTGTTGAAGTTGAGCGAGCTGCGAGAGGAAATTGCAGCTGAAATGGCAATTTGGTCAACATTACCTGCAGCTACAGCAGCAGCTGCAGCATCAGGTGTCAAGCGGCATTAGAGAGCATTACACAGACAGCTTGTTGGCTGGCAACTTAAGCCAGGCGAGCCCAGGCCAAGGCAGTGGCAACTTTCAGAATGAAACCAAGTCTAAGTAAAATGTGTGCTATTCCACTCAGCTGCCGTGCCACGCCGCGTATGCGTAATATATCAATATGCCACTTACTCAACCCCAATCGAGCGTTCGACCAGGCAGCCGGCATTAAATTGAACTGATATAATGTTGTTTGTGCTTGCCATATAAATGCATCACACATATTTTTTAAAGTTAATATATGATTCCTTGCAGTAGTATACACTGAATATAAATCAATTAAAGAATTGAAAGCAAAGCATAGAATATTTATAAAGAATATAAAGAGAGAATATATAGGAAAATAATAGTAAATTTAAGTAAATTAAATTCATTGTAAGTCTAAGTAATTATTTTCTGTACTCTACTATATATATTATATACTATACTATATATTGTATATATTACACTATATGCGATTTTTATAAGAAAATACTCTCTGTCTCTCTCTCTATCTAAACTGATAAACAAACAAAAATTGTTTTTTTTTTTTTTATAAATTCCCTCTTCTAATAGTTCTCTATTAAGTTTAAGTGTTATATATATCTTTCTCTCTCTCTCTTTCTCTCTATCTCTATTTCTCCCAATCTGTGTATCTGCTCTCTCCCTCTATGTTTATACTATCTCGCTTCCTTATTTTGACTCAACACAACAATAACTTATATTCACATTCTCTACCGACAAAAAACTACAACAACAACAACACAACAACAATAACAACACTGAAAATAAAACCATAGCTTGATAATTGCAAGGTTCGTATTTTCATAAAATCCACTCTTCAAGCTCTATAAAAAATAGTTTTCCATTTGATTAATGTCCATAAACACGTCCTCGATTTCTTATGCAGGTCTCGCTAGAGGCGGATCGGCCCATTGTGAGCGCTTGTCGCAAAACGAGCTTCTATCATCACTCCCACACGCACAATCAGCGACAGGGCAATGGAGGCGGTGGCGGTGGCGGTGGTGTGGGCGTGGCAACCGCACATATGTCACACTCATCGAGCAATGTACTGCGCGCACGGAGAGGCGTGGTCCGCATGCTGATAATATTTGTGCTGACATTCGCGCTCTGCAATCTGCCGTATCATGCGCGCAAAATGTGGCAATACTGGTGAGTGTTACACTGCGAGAAAAGCAATTATAATTAACTGCCAGCACATGTGGGAGAGCCTTTTAAATGAGAAATTGAATAACCAAATTTTATAATACATACATGTTGCTTTATTGGCTGAGTTTGAGTTTTTAGTTAGCCGAAAATTGTTTTTTCTTCTTAAAGTGTAAATTAAAGACTTTGACATATACAATATATTAAATTGCTGAAATTAATGAAACTTTATTTGTTTCAGTGCAAGCCCAAGAACTTTAATTTAAATTGCTATTTATTTTTTTCTGATTTAAGCAAATACTGCGAATATATTTATGAAAATAATTTCATTTAACTATGTAAAGAAGGAACTTTTTTTCGTTAACTCTTAAAAAATTCAATCAAGCAAAGATGATTTTGGCTTGTACCAATGCAGTAGGGATAGTCTGTCGCCTTCATAATCATCATCGTCATCATCATCCGTAGGATAAGCATCTGCGCCATTTGATGTTATGCAAACAGTTGAGAGTCATTTGCATGTAGCGCAAGGCCATCTGCCGCGTAATAAATAATACACTTCAGCCTATCTGCGCCTCTACCTGTTCCTTTACCTGTCCTTACCTGTCGCGGCGCAAACAATTAAATTGTCTATTAAATTGGCCCGATTGCCATTCAGATTGGCCGAAACGCCGCCTCTCAGCCTGTTTGCGAGCAACATTATTCTCGATTCTCAA